CTCGAGGATCGATCTGCCCTTCACTCTTCTCTCTTTCATAGCAGTCCTTCGAATTTTTGGCAAACACAGAATCACTTGGAAGGCTTAACAGAACAAACTAGAACCAATCTGCAGAGCTGCTACTCAGTGGCTCCAGAGAGTGTTCCACAATGTGCCTTTTAAGATGTTCCAGGTTGCCCTTCCTGCTGTTGGCCCAGGGAGCTCACTTTGAGAGCCACCATCCTGGACTATGCTGCCTCTTTTAACCAACCTATGATATTTAGCAAGCACCTCCTATGTCCAACAAGGACAGCTGTTTCTTTGTCTTCTTAGGGGTGAGACTAGGGGGGACAGAATAATCAATTGCATGAAAAAGTCAGGGAAAGCACCAGGTTGCATGCCCTGGAAGTACTTGGCTTTCTTTCTATGGGGAATGAGGAAATCCATGTTCTAGGAGAAAGCAGGCCTCCATTCCTACTGCAGGCTCTTCAGCACAGTGAGTTACGCTTCTCTTTGAAATGTTCTGCAGGTCAATCACAACTGTAAAGACATTTTGCCCAAAGCACATTCCATACCCTAGCATGTTCAAACTGCCTTTCACAATAGCAACCTGAAAAACACAGTGTGTGCTTCCAGGGCCATTACAGAGCAGCTCCTCCTAAAGTGCTCAGTTAGCTTTCAGCTTCTACACTGAACTTATACCAAAGGAATCCAAACTCTGGGGAGTATACTCTTAGAGTTTACACTCACAAGGGCAATCTAAATCAGCACTAATGGTAGATTCCACACCTCTGCCTCTACAACAGAAGTATTGTGGACGTAGAGTTTCACTTCTCCATGGAACTTCTGAGTGTGGAAACACACTATAACTTGTCTCCTTGCAAAGGCAGCCTTAGGCTTTTAGATGCAAACTGCCTTTCCCAGGGAAAAAGTTGGGAGCAAGAAACCCCAGCCTCTCCAATCACTCCACAAGCACACAGGTCTCAGTGCACAGATATGGTTAGTTCTCTGGACTCTATGCAGCCTGAATGACAGCTGATAAGGAGGGCAAGACAGATTGCCAGAAGGCAAGGCTGAGGTTGGGCCTTGTGAGATGTGGAAAACAGGCAGGAGAGCAGCAAGAATTCAGGAAAATATAGAGGGCTCTAGGAAATGGCCTGTAAAAGCACACCTCCTAACGGACTGCGAGAACGGCAGCTTCCATTTGTAGCAGGTTACCAGCCACTCTTCACTAACATCACCAACTTCTTACAAAAACCCAACCCAGTTTGTAATAGCTCCATTGTGACTACTGCTTTCTACTGGCTCCATATGGGTCCGGTCATGGGACTAGAATGAGACAGAGATGTTACCTGACTTGCTGCACTGTCTCCCTGAGGAAAAGGAGAGAACAGGGGTTGTAGTGTGACCTGTTAGACTCTTGCTGGTTCATTCTCCACAAGCGTGCATTTATATTAACTAGAACATGGAAGACATTCTTTAGCAGCTTTTAAAAATTAAAAGAAATCCTTTTTAAACCAAAAATACTTGTGTACTCTTGTCCTATCTAAACAAGCCAGCAGTTGCCTTGATGGAGAAAAATTAAACAGGAGACAGGTCGATAATTTCAGAGTTGATGTAGCTGAAATAAACTCCCTAGAAAGGCTCTTCTTAGCCCTTTCCATATCATGTTTTGGAGACTTCCAAATAAGCTGGGTGTCTCACCCAAGGGTACTCTATGCCATGCTACACTGTGGAAATCTGTATCCTGAATCCCTCTCGGAGTTACAGAGCATCTTTCCTACATAAATGGCTCCACGATGGTCTTCAGCGCAGAAACCAGCTTTTCTTGATTTTAATTCCTCATTTTCCACAAGCCCATTTATTTGACCAGTTAACCTACTCATTAGAAATGAGCCCTGTGGCAAACACAGAGGGCAAATACTGACCTCTGTGCATGATGTTTGAGAAGCTTGGAGATGCTTGGTGCACAAAGGGCAGCAAAGAAGCATTACGTCACCTCCTGTCCTGTGGCCCGCAGACTGTGTGGCTCCACTGTGCTCATGACATTCCATGGACCATGGCTTTGAAGCCAAATGAACTCATCAGAGAATATTCAGGGAATAGAGTGTGACCGTGCTAGCACTAACTTATAATAAAGAGCCCAAGCCTAGGAAACAATTGCTTTTTGAAAGGAAAATATGGAAGAGTCCTGAAAATCGTACATGGACTCAAATAGGAAAGATTTATCCAACTAGATCCAGGGGAAATAAGTCATAAGCTACCATACAGTGAGCAGCCATACAATGCACAAATGAGAGGTGGTTTACCTGGGATCTCCCAGCACTTGTGGAGCTCAGCATGGCTCTACAAGCAGATTGTCCTGAGTTCAAGTACTACCTCTACTGCTTCATCATTGTCATATTAGCCAGTGATAGCATCTTCGAACCACTTTCTTCATTGGTAAAGTGGAGATAACACAGTATTTATCTTGTTTGACAAATGTGATAAGAAAGGCTTTGCTTCCCAAGAAAGGTTCAATCATGGGTATTTTTCCTGGCCATTTCCAAAGAGCATTGTAGTCACTACCCCAAATATTACCAAGGTTCTACATGGCATGGCCTCACTTTTACTCCAGGTAAATTTACTATGCACCCTCTAAAATTAATTCTTCTTTTTATATCTCTGGATCTCAATTTAGTCACCCAAACTCAAAACTACCATTTCCTTCTTCCTTGTTTGCTCCCTCTCCACACTCATGGCCTTGCTTTTTAGTTGCATGTGTTCACACAAGTCCTAATCTCTTTAAGCATCTACTCCCGTACCTCCCATACATGATACACAGGTACTCAAATGTGGCTTTCAAATTTCTTAAACCATAGAGAGATCTAATATCACCCGACTATGCCCAGAGATTCTAGGCTTATAGTATGAACCAGAAATCCTCACTCTTTACATTTTTCCAGGAATTCTTATGGGTAGCTAACTTTGGGACACATTAGTGAATCCTGAGTCATAAATAGCACCCCAAAAGTCACACAAATACTAGAGAATGACAGGCATGTGAGGCCCTGGTGTTTGTGCCCCAGCTCCTACCAATTTGAACCTATTTCTCTTTTCAGTTTAAGATATAGGTTTGTGATTTTTCCCCCAATCTAGCTGATATTACTTAAAATTATTCCCTTACACACAAATCTTCATGCAATTAGGGCTCAAAACACTAACTAAATGTGATTCTGCTTTAAGTTGGTAGCCATGGTCAACTGCTGGCTCAAACTGAGGTCCAAACAGCTCGCTTGATCTTTCCTTGGTCTTTTCCTGTTTTGAAAAACAGGGAATTAGTAATGACAGAGGATAAAAGGAAAAGGGTAAGAAAACAAGTGGAGAGAAAGGTTGAGCAGCAAGATGTTAATTCTCCAAATTGGCAGGAACACCTGAACTGTCACTATCTGCTGGCCTCTGTTATGGATATGTATATTTATCTTATGCCCGACAATATATGATATGAAATTTACACAGAGAGAACTACAATTCTCAGAGAAACAACATTCAATAAACCTGAACGTTCTTACTCTTAAGGCCATTATTACCCTGGGGTTATAATAGAAACAATTTCTATTTTTTTTTTTTTTTTGCAATCTTTCTATGTGGATGTTGTAGAAAAGGCGGGGGGGATTTTAACTGGCATCCAATGATACCTGCAGAATTCATAGGCATAAATGTACTCAAATATGATTTGCCTACAGAGTAAGAGTTTGACATGAATAGAACCTAGAAGATCCAGAATTTTGTTTCTAGATCTGTTTCACAGGACAGCAACTTTTTGGCTTGGGTGATATTGTATGAACAATACAATAACAAAGGTTAGCAAAGGTTAGCAAGTAGCTGGGCTTAGCACTGAGCTTCTTACTGTGACATGTTAGGCTTTGGAAACTGAACATTCCCCCTGAAGGACACACTTCCCTTACTAAGAATTGAGAAGAAATAAGTAAGATTTGCTTTAAAATGTGAAGGCAAAGAAAAGATGCAGCTAGAGCGACAAACTCCTGATCATTGTTGCATCTGGTTAATGAACATTGCTTTGATTTATTCTAATTTTTAAAGGTAGACAATTACTATTCACTAGTGCAAATTCACGTTTATGCCAGTGAATTCTGCAGTATCTTTGGATGCCAATCTAAATTTCCTATTTTTGCTTTTTAAAGAAAATTTACCTAAAATGTTTTCAAAAAATACTGAGATTGATTCTGTTACAACCCACTGGTAATAATGGCTTCAAGAGTAAAACAACAAAAGAAAATTTCTGAGCAAGTGCTTATTGTCTAAAATATGCTTAAAACTATCCTGGGGACTTGTGAGGCAGAATTGCCTAGTTTAGCAAGCCTACAATCCAGTTTAAGAATGGAAGTCAGTATCTACCTATAATCCTGGCAAATAGAGAGACTGGGGCTGAAAGATCATAAAGTGAGCCCTGCCTAGGCAATTTAGTGAAACTACATCTCAAAATAAAAAGTTAAAAGCATTGGAGTTGAAACTCATGAGTACAGTGAGTTACTGGATTTAATCCCTTGGATTTGAATGGAAAAACAAGTTTGTCACTTTTCCTCTGCCATTTAAAATTTCATCTTTACCCATGATTGAGACTGGTGATTTCCAAAATATTTTTCTTTTAAATCATGAAATCTTTACACAGAACTCTTAGGAGGAAATGGCGATGCTGGAGAAAACAGAGCTGCAGTGATGGGAAGGAAAGAAGAAGGGTGGGAAGGGAGAGAGGGAGAGGGAGAGGGAGTTGGGAGCTGTAGCTCAGGGTTGCACCTTGCCTGCTACAGTTCTCTCCCATCAGGGCCCCCAAGGAGGTTCCAGGAGGCTCCTCAGTTTCCTGGCAATTGATTGAGTTGCCCAATGCTCTTGTTTCTGGCTTACGCAAAGAGACACAGCATATGATCTATGTCTCTGATCCTGAATGTTTGGCCTTGTTAAAGATATGAATGAATCTCACTGGGCACATCGTAATATCTGCAACTCCTTTTTGCCAACAGATATTGATTTTGCCACCCGCAAGATCGCAGTACATCTGAAGCAGACAAAGATCATTGATCAAGATGGTGATAACTTCAAGACCAAAACCCAAAGCACATTCAGAAACTATGATGTGGATTTCGCGATCGGAGTGGAGTTTGATGAGTACACAAAGGGCCTTGACAACCGGCAAGTTAAGGTACTGTCTTGCGTTGGCAATTTTGCATTTCTTTGCACAGGTGCTGCCTATTTAGCTTCTCAATAAAAGAAAAAAGATATAAACACAAGCTGGGAAAGAGGCCGCTAGAATGATTTTAATGAACAGTTATGGCAAGTTGAGTAGGAAGACACAGTCTAGAGAGACATTAAAGATCTCAGCCTCTCCAGGGATTACTGCATGGCTGCTCAGGCACGGTAAAGAAGGTGAAGTGGAGGGACATGGGCAGGGATGGTGACTGTGACCAGCTGGGCAGGGCAGCTTGATGGAAGGGGCAGCCTACTCCACCTCCACCATGCATTGCTCTAGAGGAATGAGGTGTCAGGATGTCAGGCATTGTTTCCTTTCAAGAGATGTTGAAACATCAGAAAATTTAAATAAAATATCTCAGGTTTAGGTGAACTCAACTGGCTGAAAAAATGGTTTTGAAAAGTACGATGCAATTAAAACAAACAAAAAATCAGTAGACTAAATGAAGTTCAGAGTTTATCCAGTTCTAGCGACTTGGAGGAGTTTCTGGCAAGGTGTCAGCTGTGTCCTGACACTGCCTTCCTTACCTGACATGTTGGAATCTAGAGGCCCTTGTGTACCTCGCAGCTCAGACTCCCAGTCACATGAATTGTAGTACCTCTCCCTTATCCTGGCTTCACTTTCCATGGTTTCAGTTACCTGTGGTCAATTGAGATCCAAAAAAAAAATAAATAAATAAATAAATAAATAAATAAATAAAAACAAGGAAAATTCTAGAAATAAACAAGTAGCAAATTTTAAATCACATGCCATTCTGAGTAGCATAATGAAAGCTCACTCTGTGTACTGCATCCTGCCCTGAATGTGAGCCGTTTCTTTTGTCTGGTGCATTTATTCTGTATACATTACCCATCCACTGACAGCTTAGCAACCACCTTCATTACACCTGTCAAATATATAAGTTTCTGCATTATGTGAGGTTCATGCATTCACTAGGGATCTTGGAACATACCCTCCATAGATGAGGGGTACTACTATATTTGCATATGTAGAACCCTGGAAGCAAGCAGGGAGAAAGGAATTATCTCAAATCCCAAGTATGTGAGTTTGTGGAAATAGCAGGCCCTTGTCTAGAGGCTCTACTCATAAATAAGGCAGAGCTGGTAAGCAGCAAACAGGAGTGGGAGGACAACAGCTTCTCTCCCTCTCCATCATGGAGTGGTATCACAGTGTTCACATTTGTACTCCCTCATGGGCCTATCTTTGATCTTCCAAATCAAATTATGCCTGATCAGTCCCCTCCAACCAGGAATACAGAGAAATCAATCTCAGATGTGTATAAGGACCTCCTCCAATCTTAGCATCGTACAGAACCTACCCCAGCGATTACACTGTCTAAGAAACTTGGAAGGGTTACTAGTCTGTGATGGGTCATGCTTGCCATTGACTGGTACTGCCCATGCCCAGGCAATGTACACAAGGGTGGGAGTTTGATACTCATAGATGCCTTTCCCTCTGTCCCAAACCAGCCAGTAGAATCTCTGTCTGGCTCCCCGAGCTAAAAGAGAAAACTGAATGTTCTGTCCTCAGCTCTGTGTGCCTCACCCTCAGCAAAGAGGGTGACTCCTTCAAAGTCTCAGCTCCGTTACCGCAAGGAGCACAAACTCTGGTTTCTCTCCTGGGAACGTGTTGTGGGGGACTGTAAAGCCAAGAGAGAAGGACACATTTCTCAATCAGGCTGTCCTGCAGTACTGACAACTTCAGTCATTACGGTGAATTATATTTACCAATCCTTGCTGAAGAAAAAGGTGCTGGGGGAGAAAGCATGTTGGGAGTGTTTCCATCTGAGCAGCCCTATAATGAGAGAACCTGAGCTTCCAGGTCTTGGACTATCCATACCCAGAAACTTTTCCTGAGCAGATGATGGCCTCTTCTGAACCTTGCCTGAAAAGCCAATTCATCAGAATTGATGGGAAAATTTGCCTCACAATTTTGCATCACTCTGCCATTCCAATGAATCAGTTCAAAATGATTCATTTTCCCTTGCCTTTCAGTTTGGGGCTGGGCTTTTGAAAAGCAGGCTTGTCCTGACTTGTTCTTTCCTACCTTTGATGGTAGAGGACTTGCTCTTCCTGAAATCAGTCATGTTCTTTTGGCTTTCCCTGACCCTCAAAGACTCCACCTGTCCGTACTTACCCTTCAGCTTCTCCACTTCCCATAATCCTTCCTCTCTTCAGGAGTTAACCCTGCCAAGAGAAGGAAGCCTGTTTTCCAAGGCTTATTTCCTTATTGTTTGCAGCCAAAAGCCAGAGCTAATACACACACACACACACACATACATGAAAACTGGTGAGATGGGACATTTTTTGAGAGGTTTTACCCAGCCAAATGCTGGACAAGGTTTGTTCTCATTAGAACCACAGTGCAAAGCAAGTGCCTTCAGGAATGTCTATTTCTGTCACTGGACTAGACCCCTTCAGAGGGCAGGGGACACCAGGGAGTAGGTAAATATGTTTTCCGGATTGATTTTTAACTCAGGTGGCATGCTGGGATGTACACACAGCTCTGTGTGCGTGCACCTATATGTGTGCATGTATGGGCATGTATACGTGTGTAGTATTTCTTATTCTTCATGTCCTTGCTCTCCAGAGCTTCACTTCTCAAATCCTTGGTCACTTCTAGAAACTCTCTGAAAAGCTTCCCAGTCATTAACGTGGAGAAGAGGTGTACATGGGTTGCAGCAGGGGCCCCGCAAGACCCTGAAATGACCAGTTCTAAGCCAGCCCAGACCAGGGGCACTGGTTCCACATTTGCCATGGTGTGGACATTTCTCTAAGGAACCTGGAGACACTCCCTTCCTTCCTGTAGGTTATATACATTCCAAACACCTACCCTGATTTGGTTCTAAGAGAGTTTAAAGCCCCTTTCAAAAATATACAAACTACTTCCTACTAAAATGTGATTGCTATCCATGCAGCAGAATATTGGGTATCCTGTAACTATGAAAGGAAAGAATTCTGATTCATGTGACAACATAGAAGAAAACATTCTAAGTAAAAGAAGCTTGGAAAACATTCTAAGTAAAGAAGTTACATTCAAAAGGCCACATATCCTGTGACTTATCTGAAATGTGTAGAATAGGCAACTTCACAGACAGAGTTTGCCAGGGAATAGGGGACACAGGAAATGGATAGTGACTGCTAATAGGTACCAGGTTTCTTTGTGGGGCAATGAGTGTAATGATGGATGCACAACCCTGTGCACTTTAAGAGGGTGAATTTCATGATTTGTGAATTGTATCTCAAAAAATAATTAAATATCTGAGCACGATGGTGCACGCTTATGCTCCCAGCACTCTGGAGATTGAGGCAGGAAAATTGCAGGTTCAAACCCAGCCTAGGTAATTTAGTGACTTAGAGGGACTCCATCTAAAACAGAAGGTACAGACAGTGGCAGTTGGAGTCAATACTATGCAGCAGAGCCACGAGGAAAGGTAAGCACCCAGAGCAGGGCCAGCAGGTAGTAGGGACAAACTGTTCCCTAAGAGGCAGCACACAGGAACTGCAGAAAGCCAGAGGAACATTCGTATGAGGATGATTGCAAGGGCAGGGGAGCCCTAAACTTGTTAATGGTGTCCCTCGATGCTCTTAATCTAAAGAGCTGTTATTTTCCTTTTTTAGAAAACTTACTGGGGAGAGATTCAATTTCATATAGAAAAGCTACAAGAATATATCAAGGAACATCTGTATTCTCCTCACCAAGAGTCACCTATTGTTTATATTTTGTTCCATTTGCTTATCATTTGCATGTGTTCTCATCTCAATATATATATTTTTCTGAACAATGCGATGCATTGCCCCCAAATAATATATACTTTCAAAGAACTAGGATAGTGTATTCTCTCATAGGATACTCATTACCTCGTAGTGTAGTTATCAACTACAAATTGAACACTGCTGTAGTAACTGCATCTAGTTTGCCATAAAGGGATGCTATATGGATGCTAACTTTGGATGCTGTGAGAGGAGAAATCAAAGTGGGCAGCTTCCTTCTTCGACCTCCCTGACCTCCCTTTTGATCCTTTCCCTCACCAGCAATGCCTTTCCTCACCTGCATCCACTCCCTCAACCTTAGAATCTTTTAAAGCAGTTGAGTCTGGTTTTAAAACCTCTTCCAATACAGAATGATGGGCACCACCTAAAAGCAAATTGAATTATAGTATTTTAGTTCACTTAACCATTCCCTTCTTTCTGCTCCTCATTGTCTGTTTTATGTAGGAATGAGCCTATAATATTTTAAGTGTTACTATGATTCACTGGTAACCAATTTACTTTACAATCAGAATAAGTTTTCATCTTGCTGGTCAATGTAAGTTATTAAAATAAAATATTAGGACAGGCCCCACGTACTGATGTTTTTCTCCTTCCTTCTACAAAATTCACTAAGTGCCTGCTACATGCCCAGCCTGTGTTAGGAGCTAAATACAAAATGATGAATCAGAGCCCATTTCCTGCCCTCAGGAATTTTGAGCCTTACAGAAAGACAGGTGAATAGATGGACAAGGACTGTATTGAGTCCACCCTGATGGGCATGTGTGCACTCTGGTGGGACCTCCTCCCATGCAAGGAGGCGAATGAATTTACCTCAAGATTCTGCAGCAGCAAAATCATCCAACCAAAGATTCACTCAGCAGTGCAGATCGCTGTACTAAGTGTGGGGTTGCAGAAAGGAACAGCAGGACAGTCGCTTCTTTCTTCTTTTCATGGAGTTTACCATCTACAGAGAAAAGCGAACATCAATTCAACCAGCATGTAGCTGGGCTCCACAGGGTGCTAGGTGACGTGCGAGCAGGGTGAACAGAAGATACAGTCCTGGCCTGGATGAAGGCGACAGTCCTCTCATCTATAGGAGGAACCTCAGAGTTCAAGGCCAGAGACGGGTGACAGCAAGCAAGCATTCCAGGCAGTTCTGCCTCCCAGGAGAGTGAGGAGGGCAACCTGTGACCTGAGCTGCTCTCAGACCTTCAAAGATGTGAGGCTTAGGATGGCCTGGAAGGAGGAAGAGACTATTTTTCCTTTAGAAAATACATAAAATTTTGTCTTAAAGTTAGTTTGGGAATACTAATATGTGCAGATGGTTAAAAACATTTTAAGCAACAAAAAGGAAGATTTCCTTCCCACCCTGGCCCCCAAGCTCAGTCCTTCCTGAGGGACAATCACAGCAATTGTCTTCTTTCACCTCCTTGTAGAGAACGTATGCAAACACACACATCTAAATGCCCCGCCCAAACCCCTTATTTTATGTGTATGGCTCTGCAGGTCACTATTTTTTAATACCCAGACAATATACTGTAGCATCTTCTTTCAATGACTGTGTACCAGGGAAGAACCAGCCCATATTTAATCAGCCACCCACTGACAGAATTTATGAAACTTCTGGTCCTTTGCTGTAACAAACAACGCTACAGTACACTGGGGAGTAAAATGAGGAGGAATAAAATTACACACAAAGTGCATAAAATGCTCAAGGTCAAATATTATTTTTAAAAATAGGTGAATTTAATAACCTGTAAAAAAACAGACGTACTAAAAAGCAGACCTAAGTGCACAAGGAGACTGTGGAGAAAACCCACAGTTTAGTTTATCACCAACTGGGTTTGCAAGATATGCAAAAATTGTAAACATCTTGGATCCAGATCATCCTAAGAAAGGATAGAACACACAAGTCTCTTTCCCGGATGGAAAGGACTTAATTATCTCAGTAGTAACATGAGCAAACCTAATCTGGGCACAGAGTAGGGTGGCCCTGGAGGGCTACCTAAAAGTCATGCAGACTATCTCAAAGCAGATATTAGAAGGAAAAATGAGGAACTGAAGGCAAGAATTTGGAGGTTGAAGTATTTGTAAATATGTGTACAAGAATTTGAGTACTCTTGTTTTCCAGCATGCTTGGGATTTCTCCCACCTGCTGGTCCCCTCAGCTTGTTTGGCCAAGGTGCTTTCTGCCGATGTTCCTGTGTAGCTCACCAGTTGGCATGACGGTCTGGAGGAAACCAAGGAGCAGGTCCACCCTCTGGTTCTATATGATAAGGCTGGCACTGGCATCATCTGGCTGGCTCTCTGATTAATTAGAAGCTTGCCTGCCTTTATTCCTGTTCTCTGGGGGACAGTCCTCACAATGTGACTCCTATGGGGAAAATTCCCAGAAGCAGATTTCTAAGTCAAAGAATACATGCACTTTTATAATTCGAAAGGTAATAAAATATGTGTCTAAAAAATGTGTCCCACCTGCCTTGTAAGTGCTTCTCTACCTCTCAGTGAAACACCAAAGTCTTTGGCCTTTGACCACATGATGAATTATATCTGAAAAGTAGTCTCATTAGCATTTGTCTTATTATGAGTGAGGGTGATTATCTTTTCTTGGGTTTAAAAGTCATCTACTAGGGGCTTCTCTCCTTTTAATCTGCTGGTTCATGTCCTTTGTTGACAGCAGCTATTAAATTAATAATCTTTTTCTTCTTGATTGACAACAGCCCTTCATAATAAGGAAATCAGGTCTTTGCTAGTATGCTACAATTCTTTTTCTCTGATTGTATTTGTCTGTTGGCTTTGAGGTATTTTCCCCTTTTAGAAAATTTACATTGTTAATAGTCAAATGCATCACCCTTCCCCCACTGACCTGAAATGTTATCTTTACCCCATGTAAAAACGCTATCTTTACCATACGTTAAAAATCGTACTCCTTAAAAGAGAACAGATCAAGCCATATAAACTGTGGTTGGTATGGAGGACGTTTTTGGAAAATGAGATTAGCAAGCTCTTAGACCAGTGAAAATGAGAATAAAAGGATCTCAGGTCATGGAGGCCAGGGGTCTGCAAGCAGTGAGTGGCCTCAGCAATTGCAGTTACAGGTTCAGCCTCATGGAATCTCCCCGGCCACAAGTTTCATTTGTCTGGGAACCTGTCATTGCAGGCACTGGTCACCTGGGAAGGCGATGCCCTTGTGTGTGTGCAGAAGGGAGAGAAGCAGAACCGCGGCTGGAAGCAGTGGGTGGAGGGTGACAAGCTGTATTTGGTAAGTCTTGCGTTTGCACCACTCCTTCCACTGTGCTTACACACTCTTGCAGTCACCTGGCCAGGCATTGTGACAAGAAAAATGGCCCTGAGCTCCTCCTTGCCTGAGCTCCAGCCAAATATATGTGGTCATATAGCCAGAAAGCCATTCCCATCTGGCTCCGGGGACTCCAGGAAGAAATCTGTATGGCTGTTTCTGTAAACGGCTGCAATTAAAAAGAAAGTTCAAAATGCTGAGCCAGGAAGCCAAGATCCAAGGAGAAATGCAGGGAACCTGTTAAAGACCAACAGGGGAGAAATGTGAGTCACAGAATTAAGATGCCCCAGAGGAGGGCGGCACCAGGCCTTCCTTCAATTATGAGGCTGGTAGAGAGTCTAGTAGGGAGGGAAGAAGGATGGGTTGCAGGGGGCGGACCTGGGGACACCGAGCTGTCATCATGAGGTATATCTACCTGGCCCCAAAATATTTTAGGTTAATTTGGTGTTAGCACAGGGTATTAGGAGCCGTGGCTAATATCGTCATATAATCGTATCTGCATCTAGACAGCTTAATCCTTCATTCTTCAATCTTCACGGCAATTCATGGACCCAGCATTCAAACAGTGAACATTTTTTTGTCTTTCCTGAGTTCTACCATTCATTTGTTAAGTAAATGATTCATTCAATGAATGGGTCTTCCTTCCTTCACTCATCCTTTCAACTAAGGAGTCGGGCAGGCAGCAGGCTCTAAACCTGGAATTCAGGTCACCTTGGTGCCCTTCAAAGCCAACCTTGATTCACCTGTTATCTTTATTTCAGAGGCAGTGTCAGCTAATGATATATGGGAGGTATTTGTTGTATTTTGTGCTGACAGTTTTCCCTACCTGCTCTAGTTGGGGTGATAGATGTTTTTAATTGTGGTAACATCCCCAGTGGTACCCATGGCTAAGACAATGGATTCATTGTCAGCTTCCAAGAGTACAGTAGTGTTCTCCACACTCACTTTCTCTCCTTATACCATAAGTATGGTGCAAATAAGGTCTGGAGTGCTCTCTGTCTGAAGCAAAAGTCAAACCTTCCCAGTTTCACAGGTGACCTGGGGAGCCCTCCCACAGCTCACACCCTGTCATTGGGTGTGTCACTGACAGCTGTGTTGTAATCTACTGAGCCCGGAATGCCCACAGGTAGAGGACAGCTTGCCAGCAAACTTCTTTCCAGGACCTCACCTAACACTCCTCCGTGCTAGATCCTTCTCTTCCTCATGACTTTGCTGCCTTTTATAAATTATGCAACCATTGCTAAAATCACAGGAGTAGGAAAATCCCACCCAAGAGGGTCATTTCTTTGCATTTTTCACTTTTATGGGTGCTCAAGCTCAGTTCATGTGTCAAAATCAAATGACTGCTTCCCGCAGGGAACACCAGCTGCTTGGGTCTGTGAGATCCACTTTAGTATCCTGAATGACTAAGTGGATTCTTTATTCCAACCCCAGCCCCAACCCCAGAAACTAAGAGAGCCAGCTGCTGGGCAGAAGGCAAGGCAAGCTTGTTAATCCCTCACTCACTTTCTGACATTGCAGGAGCTGACCTGTGGTGACCAGGTGTGCCGTCAAGTGTTCAAAAAGAAGTGACGCCAGCGGGGGGTCCTGCAGAGGTTGCAGAATTCTCTACCAACCTCCGGAATTGACGGGGTTTTCGCCCTTTTTGGAAACCCCATTAAGGTGCCTGGATGGGTTTTAAACTAAATGAGTGTGTAATAGTGACAGTACAGTCTTTCCTCTTTAAAACCTGGCATTAAAAGGAAAAACAAAATCACTCCCATGTTGAAATCCTTTCTATCTATGTCCCTTTATTTCTAGAGCTGTTGTAGTTACACGTGGGTAGAGGAAGTAGCTGCCTACATGCTGGTAATCTTTTTGTTTTTGTTCTTTGTTGATTTGTTTTATTTTGTCTCTTTTCTTCATTAGTTTGCTGTGGGAAGGTAGTGGATACTTTTACCTAGAAACTTTCTCTGGCCACTAATTCTTGGACATTCTCCATTTGGCAGACACTCCTTTGAGTAGTACATTAATTCTCCAACATTGTATTTAAAGATGTGAATGCCCTTCAATTTGTACCTTGCTGTGAGAAGACCACACATAGCTGTCTGCAAATTTCCAGCTGTCCTGAGTCCTGTGTCCTTCAGCCCTGTGTTGTGTAGCATGTCAATGAGCACATGTCCATTAACCCTCAATGTGCCTTCTACCAGGGGCCTAAGTTCAAGTTCTTCAGCTCCACTTTTTAGCTGGGCCCATCACATCTTTATGTCCGAGCCTTCTCCTTCATTAGTCTTCGAAGAGCCCGTAACCCCACCATCAGACAGCAGTTTCTTTGAAAAGCAGATTTACCCTAAGGGAGGAAGCAACGTGCTAGCACACGTTGGTATAATTTGAATGATCAGACCTTAACACTAATCCTAGGCATCCTAGGATTATGGGATAAATAGAGAGGTGAAAATCCTACCATGTGTCTCAAGCCAGCCTTAGCTCAAGCCCTCTGACCAGGCAACAATCATGCCATGCCCTGTGACAAGGAAGCAGAAAAGTGCCTGCCTGAGTCTTATGCTGGCTGGAGATACAGAGAAGGCAGATGGGAGCCCTCTGAGTCAAGTCAGTGACAGGTGCTCGGAGGGTAGCTGAACCCAGACACATGAGTGAAGGGCCTGGAGTGAGCGCATGCCCCTTAGTTACATTATTCATTGCTGACACAAAATACCTGACACCCACAGGTTAGGGAAGGAGAGGTTTATGTTGGTTCATAGTTTGTAGTGGTTTCAGTCCATAGCTGGCTGGGTCCAAAGCAGGGCAGAATAGCAGAGGACAAACAGCTTATGGCATGGCAGTCAGGAAGCAGAGAGACATCAAAGGAAAGGGAAAGAGATAGACCCTTCTAGGCCACACCCAGAATGGAAGACTGATCTCTTTCAGTCACCCACCTCTTCCAACCAGGCTTCATGTCCAACTGACATTTAGTATAAACTCATCAATGGGCTAATCCACTATGAGTGTCATACATTCGTGATCTAATCACCCCGCAGAGGTCTCACCTGTAAGCCCATGGGGCTTTGGGGAGACATCTCCGTAGAAACCCTAACACTCCCCCACAGATGTTCCCAGTAGCTTTGCCCTTGTTCTCTATAGCCTCAAATGAATCCTCTTTATTGTCCCTCAAGAAAACCCTACTGTGTGGGATGTGAGACAGTGGCTGAAGCATTGGGGACTATAAGCGTCAAAGTGTTCTGCACAGGTAAAGGGGTTACTATTTAATAAGGACTTTTTATTCTAGATTCTGCAAGGTATATTCCAGGGGGTGTTAGTTCCCCCAAGATTCCGTTGGCTCAAACAAAGACCCCACCACTCTCCAGCTGCCTTGGTTATGGGGCAGTTACTTCCTCTGAGCTTGTATTTCCCCATCTATAAAATTAAGGGTGAAACAGCCTGCTTCAAAGTGAGTGGTAAGTGTTAAATATGATCCAAGCTTAGAGTTTGACACAGCAGTCAGATATATATATATATATATATATATATATATATATATATATATATCCCCCTTGTTAAATTCTATGCCTTCTAAAAGTTTTAACACTGGGATCCCTTACTATGGGCATTTCCATACTTGAAAATCAGCAGAATAGAGGAGAGGAGGGTACTGGAGGGCAGGTAATCATGGGACAGTTAGGCCTACTGCATGTGAGGTGACATAGCTGTGCCTTCCATGGCCCTGTCCCCAGCCCCATTACACCTTCCAGTGACTACAGGTTACCCACCAGGCACCCATCAGCTCCCACTGTCTGGGCAAGAGGAGCCCAGGCTACACTGGAGTTGAAGGAGCAAGTCATAAGGGTGCCAGAGCCAACCCTGAGGTCAGGAGATGACGACTCATCAGGGATGAGGAGAGAAAGACAGGGAAAGAAGGGGACAATGGGACAGGTTAGAAGAGGGAGGAGGAGAGAGCTGGAGGCAAGAGGAAGAGGAAAGGAGGGAGAGATAGAGATAGGGAGGAAAAGGAGCAGAAGAGGAGGAAGCAGGGAGAGTAGGAGAGGAGAGGAGAGGAGGGAAGGAGAAGGGAAGGGAAGGGAAAGGAAGGGAAGGAAAGGGAAGGGAAGGGAAGGGAAGGGAAGGGAAGGGAAGGGAAGGGAGAGAAAAGCTCAGGGGAAAAGAAACAGAGCAGAGGGAAAATGAGGAGAGAAGAGGAAGGGAAAAGGGCAAAGGGGAATGGGAGAGAAGAGAAGCAGAAAGGAAAAGGGAAGGAAGAGAAGAGGACAGGGAAAAAATAAGCAAAGTGAGAGGCAGAGAGATAGGATAGGAGAAAAGATCCCTGCTCCTCACCAGCTGATGTAGAGAGAGGAGCAGAGTGAGAAATCCGGGTACATGGCCCACAAGCCATGGCCTTGGTGACCAAACCAGATCAAGAGAGTTTCTTGAATTTTCATTGCAAGCTTCCCTGAAGCACCCACAGCTTCACTTAAATACAACCAGCAAGGGAGGCAAAATTAGTTCACCCACAGCTGAAAAGGGTAGGCTGGCCCTGGACTGATCTTTTGGGAAAGGAACAAGTCCAGGTCACTGCCTCTGGGTTAAGCACCCCCTTTTGTGCTTTTGTGCCTTAGGGGACTGTGATATACATGCCTATTTTACAGAAAAAGAAACTGAGGCTTGTACTGGGTCAAACGCTTATCCAAAATTCCATATTTGTCAAGTAGCAGAGGCAGAACTTGAACCCAGGTGTGTCTGTCTCCAGAGCCCGAGGCCCTCCACACAAAGGCTTTGGTGACAAGGACAACATAACCCTTGCATGGCAATCTCTAGATATCAGCATTATCAGAGACCTCCAACTCTACTTCTCTCTATTCATTTGAAATTGAGCTTTGTGCATTTTTTTCTTTACCTCCACATCCACTTTAAATCTCCTTTAAGGTGAACTCCAGGACAGAAGGGTAGTCATTGGGAGTGACTAGCTTAGGCTGAGGCTTTGGGTCTTACGTCTGTGCAGAGAATCACAGAAGGGATGGTCAGGACTGTCCTGAGCTGTCTCTTCTACTTCATCCTGCTTTTCCCATCCTGCAAGATTTGTGATTGATTAGAAGGGCAGAGGTTGGGATGTTTAATTTCAACTCGCTGATTACATTTGCTATGTAGATGGGCACCATTAGAAGCAGGGGCTTGAGAAAATGAAATAGAAATGAACTAATCTGGGTTTTCAAGAACTTTAAAGATGTGGTCATGAGTTTTTCTGGAGTCAGCCCTCACTTTAGCTTTCCTCATGGTTCTGGAAAGAGATAGATGCAGTGCAAGTCTCGTGAAAGTGGGCAAAACTCTACTTTTTCTGAATATTACAACAAAAAATGTACTTAGCCCAAAAGTTCTTCCTAAGAAATTACTGTGGGCCAGCTGTTCTCAGAGGCTGTGGACACTGTGGACACAATGTCCTGAAAGAAGGAAAAATAAGCTAGGCCATGAATTTTATATGGATGGAAATTAGCCCAGGGCTTGGTTCCACAGGACAGAGAAGTTGAGAAGCCAAGTAAGAGACGAAGCAGGTGGGAGCTGAGCGATACCAGGAAGCTTCCAAAGCCACTAAGAACGGAAACACAAGAGGAGAAAGTGGTGTCACCAGAACCTGAAGCCAGTGCTGAACACAGAGGGGATGTTGTGGGATACACAACCACGGCCAAAAGCCACTCCCAAAGTAGGAGAAAGAGGAAGAGTCTGATGAACACCATGGCTTCTCCATTCTTCCCACTTTCCAATCTCCTACCGCTTTCCTCATTGGAAAAAATTCTCCAGAAGACTGCTGCTGCCAGAGAAACTGGAAAATGTGTTCCCTGCAGGTCAGAGCAGAACCGGAAAGGAGGGGGCAGGCATCTGATTGCAAACAGGCACTGAGGGGCCACACAGGTGCATGGCCCTGGCTTCCGCCCAAAGAGGTCCAGTTAGACCATCACAAGGATGCAAGAGGACCGCTTTAAGGCCCAGGCAAGCACAGCCCAGAGTGGGAAGGCTTCCTATCAGCACTATTGGCTGATTTGAGTTTAAAGAGTGGGCGGGGCTCTGGGCTATAGCTCAGTAGTAGAACATTTATCTAGCATGCATCAGGCCATATGTTCAAATTCCAGCAGCACAACATAAAATAAAATAAGAAGTGAATATGATTTGGAGAGATGTTCTCTGAAGTAAAGGGAAGGATGGAGCCCTCACCAACTGGCCCTGTCCTCTTGTACCACATGCTGTGCCAGGTGCTTTATGTGTAGACCTTAGTTCCCTCACTTGTCAGCATGACCTTGCACAGTGGTGCCAACCCCTTTTACAAATGAAGAACCATGCCCATAGTGACAGCCAGATGCAGCAGAGCCAGAGTTGAAACACAGTTTCACAGAGGCCCATCCTATCTCACTGGGGCTTGCAATGCAAGTGGTCACCTTCTGTAGTTGTCCATCAGATTTTGGGTGAATGTGACCTTTTCCAAATGCAGACAAACCTTAATCTAAATCTTAAAGGACAATGAAGTTAATAAAAGAAGGCGCTTACTGAACTGGAACAAAAGAGGCTATTTTATTAACCTAATTACTTTTAGCTCCTATTAAGTGTTTAAGAGCTCAATGGAATGTTTTCTTTTGTTAAAGTTCATTGTTTTTGTTTAAAAGGCATTATTTTAAAATTGCAGCTTCTCTAGAGTCCAGATCCTTGTCCTAACCACACACCCACAAGTTAGTCCACCACTTGGCAGGTGGTTACTCTGCTAGAGCTCCATGGCTGACATTTGCAGGTAACTCGGACCCTCCACATCGCAGAATTTCTCACACTTGCAGTTATTTCAGGATTTGTGACTTCCTGAGCCACAGGCTCCACAAAAGCCGGCAGCTCTTGGTGTCCTGCTTGCCATTGCATATGACATCTCCTGATTTCTGTCCTTTGCCTGACAGCTTCACCATCAGGCGTCAGTATTTATTGACCATGTCTCAGTGCAATGCCTCTGACAGATGCCAGACACATTTTCCATCAACCTATTCATTCAAAGTGCATTTATTTATCATCTACTATGAACCAGACACAGCAGCCAGGACTTGAGAAGACAGTAGTAAATAAAACAGGCACGTTTCTGCTCATCACAGATTTGGGTTTTCAGCAACACAAGAATTATTATCCTCATTTTATAAACAGGAAGTCTCTGGCTCCGGTGAGCAGAATGTCCCAAAGCACACATACTTCCCAACCCCAGAAGTGCCAGGGCCAAGATTCCAACATGTTCCTGGCTGGTATGGTTTAGAGACACGTTTTAAGTGTAACCACTAAAGGTTCCTATGTTGTAAGCTTGGTCCTCAATTCAGTGATGTGGGGAAAGGAAGTTTTCAGAGGAAGAGCTAGATTAGTGGGAGATCTCTAAAAGGTGCTTTCTCTGGCTTTCTATTTGGAGAAGTGCTCTCTTCCTCCTTCGTGTACTTCTGCCATACTTATCTACCATGAGTGACAGCCAAAGAGGAGGTCTCACCACTATTTGGACTTCCATTTTCCCCCAACTATGGGCTAAATGAGCCCCCTTTCTTCAGTACATTAGCCTACCTCTGACATTTCACTACAGAAATGTACAACCAGCTAATTCACCATTCACTATTACTTCTCCTTGCTGGGCAGGCAGAGAACAAACCTGCACATTTAACCAGAGAAACTAGGTGACCCTGTTGCTCTGTGTCTCATAAGGAAAGAAAATAAAAGGCCTTTGTAATCCCCCAGCCACAGATAAATGAGACCCACTCTGTAATGTTCATAACAAAATGCTTAACATATAACACTCACATAATAAATAGTGGCTAAAACCATAATTGTCTATTGTTACTTTAATTTTTAGAATGGGGCCATTTATTCTAGGGCAGTGTTTCTCAACCAGGGATGAATTTGCCTCCCAGAGGACACTCAGCAATGTGTGGAGTCGATTTTTATTGTCATAACTGGGGGTGTGATGATACTGGCATCTAGTGGGTAAAGGCCAGGCATGCTGCTAAACACCCTATCACACAGAGGGCAGTCCCGCAACAAAGAATTACTGAGCTCTAGATTTGAATATTATGGAGGATGAGAAGTTGGTCAGTGGGAACTGCTTCTATTAGCTATTCTTTTGCAGCATTATTTTGAGAGGGTGTGCTGTGATTGCCCACGTGATCGATGAGTTCCTGTAGTAAACTGAGAAGCAAAAGACTTTTATTTAAATCTCGACTATAGAAGTTATCTTCTTCGCCACAGTTTAAGAGGTTACAACTGTTTTAGTGGCCGAGGGCAGTTCTTCTCAGGTCAGCTCAGGGTGCTGCCCCTGTTCAACTCATCCTATGCCCCTTGATCTCATCTCTTCAGGAAGAGCAGGTTTTGCTCTTCTGGAAAGTGGAAGACCAAAACCTGCATCTAACTGTGTGTAGAGTGCATGCCTGTAATGTCATACTCTGGGAGGCTGAGGCAGGAAGTTTAACCCTAACCCAGCAACAATTCAGCAAAATCCAGTTTCAAAGCAAAAAGGCTGAGACAATAGCTCAGTACAAAGACCTCAGCTCAATTCATGCCTCATCCTTCCCAACCACCAAAAAAACAAAAAACATATACCTGCTCTTTTGCAGAAAGTGTCAGAATTCCAAAGGTTGAGTTTGTATTTTTAAATGGCTGCCCTCTCAAAGTCCTTTGTCCCCCATATCCCAGGCCAGGGAGCCCCTGAGCTCCATAATGACCTTCAAGGAATGTTAATGCCCTTCCGGCTAGTGGGGACTCTAGAAGCCAATACCATGTGACATGATTAGAACTATTCCAAATCCCATTCATGTTAAGAAACAATGACCTTGTCAGAAATGTCAGGATAATTAGAAAGAATTGCCATTTTTCTAAACTATGGTGAAGCTCTGGTAGGTACAAAGATATCTGCTGGGAAGTAACTCAGTTTCCTATAAACCATGAAGTTACAGAAAATCAGCAAGTATCCAGACCAGTCCCTGGTCCTGTACCCTATGCAGGACTGGCAGGCCCCAGGTATCATGTGTCAATTATGCTTCAGTGAAGTTTTCACTTGTGTTTTTTAAGTCAAGACTCTGCATGGTAAATCTGATTATCTCTGGCTATAGACATCAGGAATTCAGTTGCAGTATGGAAACAGGAGGGGCCACAGCAGTCACCTGATCCCCCTCCACCCTCCCCCCAGCCTGTTAGAAGATGGAGGGACTTACCAAGATCTCTTAGTTAAGTCTTAGCTTCAAGAAAGCTGGAACTCAAATTTGGATTCTCCCAACTTCTACTCCAGAGCTCATTCCAATGACATTGAGGTCTAAGGAAGATGAGAGCCTCATTAAAAGCCAAACTGCCTCCCTCATGGTCTTGTTTTCAAATAGGAAGAAATTGCAGAGCACAGTATCAGGTTGGGGTAACCTAAGGGATCATCTTAGATTTATGGTACAAACCATCTTTTGTTTCCTAGGGCATTTTTCCTTGTTGTCTTGTATAGTCTTCATGAGAACCAGGAAGGAAAAGAAGATGCTATTAAAATCTCATTGGCAGGAGAGGAAACTGACATCCAAAGCTTCCCCCATCCCAGGAAGCCAACCCCAGAGCAGCCTCTCTGCCACTCTTCTCCTAACACACATTCCAAAGAGAGCTTCCTCCTCTTATTTGACGCTCACATTTCTTACCTGGAATTCTAAAATACAGAAGAAATGCCAGGATGCTCAGAAACCCCAGGCAGAGCCCACTGAGACTGGGGCACCCCTTCTGAAAAGGAAAGGGAACACCAGAAAGAGAAACTCAGGCAGACCCTGATGCCACCCAAGACTTGCCAGCATTGAGGGTGAGCATTTCAACAGGCACAGCAGTCCACCTCCTTGCTTGCCTCTCCTTCCAAGGCTGGAAGGGAGAATGGGTGTCCTTTGACTTCAGCTCTCCCACTGGGATAGGAAGGAGACAGAGAAGAGGGCCACACTCTCTTGTACTCCTTCAGGAGCAGAAGTTAAGCCTCACCAGCCAACAAGTGGACTTTGCTCTTTGGCTGCTTGAAAAGCCGGCTTGTCTCAAGTCCAGTTTCCAGTCTTGTATTTCACATGAAACATCAACAGGGAATCTGTTTAGAAAGAACCACATCTTCCGTGGGATAAATTAAAGTGTTTGCTACAACCTGTGCTCACCCACTCTGACCTGCTTAGTGGGCTTCACTGGTCCTTGCCTTGGGGGATGCTCCCAACCTCCCCACCCAAGAAAGTTCCTCTCTCCTGCTCCCTACACAAAGAGGACTCTGCCCATCATAGTCACATCAGGAGGATTCTGTCATTAACAGACATCAGTGGGGCTTGGGATAAAGGTCTTACCAATGTGAGAAGAGAAAAGATGAAAAAGAGAAGCCGGTTAGGAGGAAGCAGAAGGATGGCAGGGCAAAGTGGAGGGGAGCGGGATGGAAAGCAACTGGTTTGTTGGTTAAGGGTTGGGCTCAAGAGCTCTGATGCACGGGCTCAAACAACCATGCACCAAAGTTCTAGGACATTCCATTGTGGGTTTGTCCCTGGTGAACAGTTATTTACCAGCTGTACCCAGAGCAAAAGCATCAATCACCTTTACTTTCCTCTTGCCCTCTAGGTCTCTGTAGAAAGCTAAACCATAAATCAGCTCCAAGTAGACATGGAAGAAAAAGAAAGACCCTGTTGCTGCTGTTTCTCTACCCATGTGACCATGAGCCCTTACTTAAACTCTCTGAGTCCTTCCCTCAAGCAGAAAAAATAAAGCTTGACCTTCTCATAAGGGGCCATGGGTTTTCAGAAAGCTAAAAACTGTCACAGCTCTAAAACCTGGGAGTGCTCACCACACACCAGCATGAGGGAAGCATCCATTAAGACAGCACTGAAAGTTTGATTCCCTGATGGATGGGTTCTCGGCTGGGTGTGTTCTCATGGCCTCTGCTCAGGTCCTCGCCCAGGCCCCAACGGGCCCTGAGACACACGCTGATCTTGCAAGAAGCCTCCATTATGTTCTGTAGTCCATGATTTTAAGTAGCATAAGAGATATTTTGGGCTGGAGTCATATGTTTGGAAAAATTCCATGGGAGTCCATGTGGAAAGTGAATTAAAAGTGGGCTCAGTTGGTCTAGGTCTTTGACAGAGTAATCTTTTTGAAAGGAATAATGGACTTATCGTATTGTATATTTCTTACTGTTTTGGAGAATCTAGCTTGTATCAGGTACAGTGTTAGGCTCCTCTAATTCATTTGCTTATTTAGTCTTCACAATAATTCAGTAGGGGGAAGGTTACATTTTTATCTACAGGTTACAGATAAGGATCCCATGGCTGGCAGCCTCCAGGCTGGGAAATCATCCCAACCTGCCTCCCACCCAAGCCTCCGACCAGCTGTTAACCATTCCCATTCCTTGTTTCAACTTTGTTATTAAAGAAAGCTGACTCAAGCTTAGTGTGAGGGAGACTATTGTGCCCTACCTCTCCAAAGCAGCGGGCAGGCAACATTCAAGAACCAGTTGGCATGACAACTGAGCAAGGAGGATACTTTCAAAATGGGCAATTTAGTTTTAAATGATTATTGCTTTTTTAACTGAATGTCACATTCCCATAATTGCAAGGACAGCTAATTGGGCAATTGTTCAGAATTTCTCAATTCTGCTCTTATTTCACTTAATGTGTATATATGCACAAGCACACTTCCTCTGTCTCTGCCTCTGCCTCTCTGTCTCCCTCTGTTCTCACACACACATACACAAAGTGACTCACGAAATGGGCCACGTAACCAATTCCGTATGCACCATGACCAACACTGAGCCATTTAGTGGGTGTTGATGGTTAACACCAACACTTCCTGATTGTGTTTGACCCACAATGCAGCCCCCAAACACTCCTCTCATACAGAAGATGCTTCTGTGGGACAAGATGGTGCCAAGCTGCTGTCCACACCTACTCATCCCAACAGAGTAACTATCTGACCTGGGGATTCTGACTCCGGAAAGTTTGACATGGATCCTCCTAAGTTTTAAAAAATTCTGAAGCTTGCATCCTTATCACCCTCATCCTTCTTGGTTCCCTAGCACAGCTGTTTATTTTTTTTTCAAAAGACATATGTTCTTTTGTCCCCCACATTTTATGACCTAAATGATGTCATTTGAGGGAGAATTGCCTGGTCTATGTAGAGAAATCTATTTGATCTGACTTCATCACGGACCCCATGGCCACATGCATTATATCTGAACTGGAACCTGGCTCTTTGACCTCACTGATTTACTAAGCCATTGTCACAAGTTTTTGTTGTTTCTAATATTGTTTATAAAACTCTAAATCTGGTGAACCATCCCTGGCTGATAAATTAGTGTTAAACTGATTTCACAGAGAATGTTTCTACCACGCCCTTGGAAAAACTGTCCCTTTAAAAAACAGCAGAGAGAAGTGGTTAATTCATAGTGTTTCATCCCAGGGCAGTGGCCTGAAACTGTTGTTTAACTGAGCTGAAGCCCAGAGATGAAAAGCCGGGGACAGAGAGCGCATCACCCTGAGAAGGAATGGAAATCATATTTCCAACTCAGATGACAGATGCCATTCTGACCTTTCGCTGCTGATTGCGAGCCTCTGAAGCACAAAGCAGTCCCTTTCTTCTGATTTTCTGACTACTGTTTCATCATGTTCTATTCAGAGAAATTACAGGAGAATTTTCTTGTTTTTTACGTATCAAATAAGATAATGGCACAGGGAAATGAAGTTCTGGAAACAAATAAATTGCTGGAGTCGCACAGGCAGCGGTGAGCTTCTGAAGATGCTGAAGGCTGGGTGGGTGGTTAAGGAGGTGGGCAGGAAGGCCTTTATCCAGCCATATGTTCAAATAAACTGCCCTTGACCCGAGGCCCCATTGTCAACAAAATACGAGTCTCATGCTAACAGCCCAACGGAAAGACACTGAGGAGGGACCTGACATTTACTGAGTAGCTTTCATTTCTGTTATTTTTTCTGAGCCCTACAATGGGCCTATAGTGTACGTTCTATTAATTTTATGGACAAGGGAGCTGAAGATTGCCTTTCTTACTAGGAAGTTGCCGGACTTTCTCTTTCACAACCTCATTCTACTGTTCAAAGTAATTCAAAGCTACATCTTCAGTGTTCTCTCAGCTGCCTGTCCAGCTGGTCATGGCCGCATCAGGACAAGCCACTGTTGCTAAAAACATCTCCAGGACTTGAGGCTGTAACAGTCCCAGAGCTGGGTGAGGTGCTGGGCCAGTCATTATGAATGAACTTGGCCACTGCTTCTCTTCTGGTTGTTTTTGTAAGTCTAAGTACTTCAGGAACCTCAAAAGTCCCCTGGCTCAAAGAGGGTCACTGGAGACATGAGCTCTCATTTTTCTTTCCTTTTTAAAAAGACAAAGCTTTTTAAAATAAAAAAAAGCAATAAATGCTTTCTATAAAAACATAAAACTCAATACAGAGAAGGGCAAAAAATTAGAAACCCCCTGTCAACCACTTTTCCAAACATAATCACACAATCAGAGGTGTAAATTACAGATCAACATTGAAAGGGTTTTCTTTCTTGACATGCTGCTTCAGAGCCTGATCATTCTCCTCAGAAATGGAGATAGCAGATCTAAATCTTTATTTATCACCATATAGCATTTCACTTTATAAATTTCTACCATTCATTCAACCAATCGTGACAATATGGAATTTCTGTTAATTTTTATAAACAATAGTGGAACAACCACTCCTGAATGATATTGCTCTGTTTTTAAACTTCTATAATTATCTCCTTCACCACTAGTTCCCAAAAATAAAGGAGTTAATGAACTATCTAGGAGGGGTTTTTTCATTCTTCCCTTTTTCTTTCATTACCAAATTTGGACAAAACAGTAGCTTCAAAATGACCAAAGGAAATTTTCTTTTATTCCTTGAATTTTCTTCCAAGTGTGGTTCTTCGCCCATTTTTGCTTTCCACCTGATTGCTTGCTTCCATGTTTTAACACACTCCTCTTTATTGTGCTCACTATATAATGTGGATGGCTCTGAAAGCACCTTTTATGGGCTTCTTTTCATGCTATCTACAGTCTGTCCATTTTCTCTGAGTTCTAGAGGTGGGTAATCCAAGTCTGTCCAAAGCTTTTAGCCTGAGAGCACCACAAGGAGGTAAGAAACTCTTTTCTAAATTAGGTAAAGCCTGAAAGGCTTAGGCTCTTTCCCTACTGGGTTTTTATCCAGTCCCCAGACAGCTCCCCTCAGACTCTGGAAAGGTAACTGCACTTCAGAAACACCCCTTTGGAGTGATGAGTCTGGCTTTCAAGGAGAACTTTCTAGGGTAGGTAGGTGGAAGCCTCTTCACCCTGAGGCTTTTTGGTTTGGCTTTTTAAATTATGCACAGAAGGCCTGCTTGTTGCCTCAGTCTGTGTGGCCAAATTTAACCAAAATGATAACAATATGACTGTGAATGAAGCTCAGTGGTACAGTGCATCCCCAGCATTAGGAAGTCTCTGAGTTCCATTCCAGCACCAAATCACAGTAATACAATCAGCACCCAAGTCCTGATCCTGAGTGCACTGCGGACACCCAGCCTGACTGGCTGGGCCCCTCACTCTGTGACTTTTACCACCCAGAAGCTGCCTGGGAAGAAAACTGGGACAACCCCCAACCCTGAAGTGGAATTTTCTTGTCACTTACAGAAAATCAAAATACTCACTTCATTTTCAGTCTCCAGTTGATTTTATCAAGTATTTTCTGTGCTGAACAGGAGTCTTAGCTGTTTCAGGTTTTATATTTTTGTCTTAAATTTCCTTAGATTGCACCTTTGAATGTGTGTGATGCAAAATTCACATTTAGTTGGCCTATAAACTGCGAAGTTTTTCCATCACCCAGGAAAGAAAAATCTTATCTCCAACATGCTATATAGTATCTGCCTTACAAAATCTGAGTTTTGGATAAAATAGAAATATTTCTTAAAAATAGTAATAAATCACAGGACTCCC